ATCTTGGAGTATTTTCCCCTTTAATGCTCACAGCACAGCTCACAGAGAGGATTTCTAGCTTCATGTGACAGATAAGAAAATGGGCTCTCAGATGGCTAAGGGACCATCACAGACTCCTACGGGTACTAAGTAGGTAATAGTGAGAAAGAGGATGGCAGCCTGACAGCTAGGAGCCCCACCCTCACAGCCATGCCTTGGTGCTCTGTTGACTGTGAACTAAGTAGTTCACTGATCATCAGCATCGGGTAAGGCCACTCTGTGACCATGATGGTCAAGATCACTCGGTAGCCATGGCCCAGGATAGGCAACATAAGCACCGTCCACATTATAAAAATGACCAAATGTCCTCCTCTCTTCCCTTAAATCTTGCTTCATTCTTTCTGCCTTAAGATGAGATTTATTAAAATAACTATAGTCCCACTTTCCTAGGCATCCACCCCAGAGAAAACCCTTACGTTCTTGGCTCTCCCCCAAATTATTTAAAATAAGCCCAATCTTGTAACAAGCCCTTCCTAAGGCCCTCTTACAGATGCCATGGCTCCCTTGCTGCAGTGAGTAATCAGCCCAGCAGATTTCACTGCAAGTATGTCCCCGGGGCCTCGGGCTGCAGGGAATTGGCAGTGGGAATACTAACTAGATCTGCCTGATTTCAAATCTGTGTGCTTTCATCCCTTCACTGCTCCTCCCAGCAAACAGGGGAGTCAACTTAAGTCAAAGACTGGGGAGTTGATTTGGGTTTTATTTGTATTGTCTGGTTTTCCATCTACATTGTTGTCCTCTAGAAATGAAGATATTAAGATGTCAGGCCCAATTGAGCTTAAAGTTCATGAAGATTCGCCAACTCCTGATAAGAGAAGTTGTTAGCAAGCTCTTACTCAGCATCTGGGATACTGATGGGAAGGGTGCAGTGAGCTCACTGTGTAGAGGGTTTAGGAGTTAACATGATGGCATGTAGATAGAGGTCTACACAGAGCACTGGAGAAGCTAGAAGCCTTTGTATTTAAAATTATTCTGAAAGTATGGAATCTAAGGTGCAGGGCAAAGAGAGGCCCAAAGGCAGGAGGAACTGCTGAGCAGAGACTCAGAGATAGAAAGGCTTGAGAAAACCAGAAGTACCAGAAGGAAGGTGGGCATAGGAACAAGTGAAGCCATATTATTGGAAAGGCCTCCTGTGCCATGCTGAGGTATATGCACTATCTTTGGAATAACAAAGAGTTAGGAGGGTTATTTCAAGCAGGAGACCGGCGTGACCAAATTCATTTGAGAAAGGATATTCTGGAAGAGGTGTTAAAAAACAAAACTTTTTCCGGGACCGGTTTAGCTCAGTGGATAGAGCGCCGGCTTGGGGACTGAAGGGTCCTGGGTTCGATTCCGGTCAAGGGCATGTACCTTGGTTGCGGGCATATCCCCAGTAGGGGGTGTGCAAGAGGCAGCTGATTGATGATTCTCTCTCATCGATGTTTCTAACTCTCTATCTCTCTCCCTTCCTCTCTGTATAAAATCAATAAAAATATATTTTTAAAAAAAACTTTTTGAAAAACCTGTTATACGTGACCTGATGGTTGAGTTTGACTTGTGGTCTGGAAGAGGTATTTATTAGCTCTAATGGACTAGGAGACTAATGGGTCTCATGTGCCCAGCTAAGGGACTTTGGCTTTGCCCTGTGGGTAAAGGGGAGGCTTTGAAGGATTTGAAGATATGGTCAAATCTGCCCAGTCAAAACTAAAGACACCAGCGTGCTGTGCTAATGTGTGATTTCATTTAGACATTTTGGAATGTTGAAAACAGCTTCAAGACCCCATCGCAACCTTGCAGGAAGTCAGGTTAGAAATTTCTGGGTCAGATGATTTCCAAGCATCCCCAGCTCTGACGGGCTAAGATTTGGTAACAAGGAAGGCAAAACTGCTGCCCAAATGGATAATGCATCACAGTGTCAGATTTTGGGACGATCTGAGGCTTGGGGTTTCCACACCACCGCTCCCTTTCATTAGTGGGGATAATTGAAAGTTGACTGCACTCATTACCACTGTTGTGATAGGTATTTGAAACTAAATTCCAGCAAGCAGGGGATGTGTGAATATTTATCTCAGCTACAGAAAGTTAATGCAGTGTGGTATTAATTAACCCGTCTGAGCCTGCTGTCTTCTGTTTTAGGGTGTCATTCTCTGTTGAATAAATTAGTTCCAAACTTAGAATAGAGCACATTGTAGGGTGAGATCAAAGCAGCCTGACTTCTGAGGGCATCCAGAGTGGGCTGAGGAAGTCTACCCAGAGAAGATCAAGAGGCATCCTGATAGCCCAACATAGGCCCCAAAAATGGCTTTTCCCAGGACTTGTACTTGACAATACCATGGCTTCCCTTATGCCTTTCCCAAGATTACAAACACACAAGAAACAGACAACTTTAGTCTTATAACAAGTATTGGAAACATTTTAAGACATTAGATTAGGTGCTTAATAAATCATCCTGCCTAGAACTTGCTAGTCTAGATTTTGAGAGAATTAAAGCAAAATTGGAGTGTTTTTAGCAAAGAACATTGATATTGCATCATAGTCATTCATTAATTCAACAAACTTTTATTGCGCACACACACTGTGCTAGGTTCACATGTAAAATGACAGAAGGAACTGGCAAGCAGAACCTGAAGCAGGTTGTGGAAGAATGGACTCCATACTTTGGCATTGGATACTTGGAAGAAGAATTACATGTTTTCATTATGTTTAAAGGACAGAATGAAGTCCCATGGGTGTAAAGCCTAGAGGGTCAAATTGGTTCTCTTGTACATTATGAAATAGGGTGCCTGGAAATGTAGGAAGGGCCTTCTCCCTGGAAGAAGCCAAACATAGTAAGTGTTTAAGAAAATAGCCTAGGTCCTGTTCTTGGCATGGTTACTAAGTAACCCTGTGACTTTGGTGAAAGAAAACCTCTCTTCTCTGGGCTTCAGATTCCTCACCTGTAAAATGATGGATCTGGACAAATTTCTCCTTTAGTCCACTTCAGCTTTACAATCAAGATAAACAATGTGATTTATTAGACACATGCGGGGCATCACAATGACTTTGAGATCACAGACTTCCCTGACCTTCCAGTTTTATCTGCAGAATGAGGATGGAAAGAATAAAAGCTATTCTTAGGACTCTTAGGCAGATAAAATAAGACATGAGGGAAATTGATAAACTCAAAGCACTCTACAACACTACAGCTTGAAGAGTTGGTCCCTTTTTTATCAGCTGTTGTAATAGATTAGGACTAACTTTTAAGTCTCATGCTCCACACTCACTAGTTGTGTGACTATGCGCAAATGACTTAACTTTTCTATGCTTGATTTCCCATTTGCAAAAGAGGTAACACATCTGCTATTGTGATAAATTAAAAAGTCAGTGTACTCTAAAATGCCTAGTGTGCAAGATACATAGGAGGGGCTCACGGAGTGCCATTTTAATGTGATGGTTCAAGAAAATCTATAATAAAAGGATAAATGCTAATTAGGGCAGATGTCTTCTGGACAAAGCCACAGTAGCTATGAAGGGTGGAAGCCGGGCTCTGAAGGGCCCAGGCTCAGGCCGGCAGTGGCAGCAGCAGCAGGGTAATGGGAGTGATGCCTTCCCCTGATCCACCAGGTTGCTTCCTGCAGAGGGAGGCTGGACTGTGGCTTAGGCCGGGGCTGAAGTGGTTAGGAGTGATCAGGCCAGCAGGGGAGCAAGTTAGGGTCTATCAGGCCAGTAGGGGGATAAGTTAAGATAGATCAGGCCGGCAGGGGACAAGGTAGGAGCAATCAGGTCAGCAGGAGGGCAAGGTAGGGGCAATCAGGCCAGCAGGCAGAAGCAGTTAGGGGTGATCAGGCAGGCAGGCAGAGGAGTGAGGGGCGATTAGGCAGGGAGGCAGGCAAGTCGTTAGAAGTCAGAAGTCCCAGATAGCAAGAGAGATGTCACAGATTGAAGAGGGTGCAGGCTGGGCTGAGTGACCCCCTCCACCACTGTGCACAAATTTCATGCACCAGGCCTCTAATAAGCAAATAAAAAAAGATCCACTACTACTTATATGACAGGATACAGGCTAATATATAATATATGGCATACTTAGAGTATAGCTATGTTTATTTAATTCTAGAACAAACATCCAATAGTGGCAGCATAAAGCTCAGTTTTAATGGAAGGGCCTATCTATGCTTAAGACCAGAGCATTGATCTAGTCTGCATCCCAGGCCTTTGACATGAAGTCTTGAAGTACTTTCAACAAGGCCAAATACCACTTACCACCTACATTTGGATGGAAAGGTTGCTACATTCTCTATTGGCAAAAAGCCTTGTGTATGTATGTCTCAGGACAACTCCAATGGGTGCAGGCAAAAGTCTGGTCCAAGTTGAAACAGCAGATGGAATGGAACAAATCCCAGAAGTTTTCAACTAAGAGCTAAAGGCACAATTGCTGTTTCCCTTGCTGTGAAGTGTGTCCAGTCATCACTGCTTAAAGAAACCAAAGAGCAGGTCAAAATAGAATTTCAGCCGTATTAAGTAGACATTACTAAAACTGTGTTAAAAAAAAATCCCCACTTGACTCATGATAATAGTTACTATTTTCTGAAGACTTGTTATGGCTGAGCACTGTGCTTAGATGCTTTATCTATAATCTTTCAAAAGCTCTGTAGGGTAAAGTATCATACCCATTTCATGGTTGGGAAACTGAGTCTCAGATAGGATAAGTTCCTTGTCCACATCACACAGCGTGTCCAGTTCTCTCTACTATATCATGCTATTTTCCGAAAGGGCAATCAGTCTCACTTGAAAACCAAGGACAAAACAGGGTGAGTAGTTCTTCTCGATGATTAAAATAAGTTGCCAAAATGATATGCACCATGATCAAATACTCCAAAAATCACCCAAGGTCATCTATCATACATTATCACCTTTCTGTTCTCATCCCAAACTCTCCTTCCCAAGTTGTCTCAGAAATTCCTATCTGGAAAAGAATGGGTCTCACTTTGTCCCTCTATCCCTAGGAGCTGGAGCCTCTCTATGCGCAGATCCACAGACCTAAGAAATAGCATCAATGCAGGCTCGTGGCAGGTGCTTCTTCAAGACTAGCATGGAAATCAGCATCGCGACAGGCTCTTATATTCTTTCACCTCACTTCATCCCACAAAGAAATTCATAATTGCCCAATGGAACTCGTTTGGAGGAAGGAATTAAGAGTTTTTGGCAACCAACAGCAGATACCTATGGCAGCACAACAAAATAAAACAAGGACACAGGAAAGTATAAGAAAATTATACCCAACGTTAAATCACAAATCAAGCAAATGCTTACCAGACAAACATTCTGAGATCTCTTAATGTGGTTTGAGAATGATCCCCCCCAGTATGCAAAATCATAATTCTCTTTTTATTTCTCTACATGTTACCCACTATAGAGATGTCCAACTTGGAGTGACAGGCCTCAAAGTCTTACAGCAAGGTTTGCACTGACTTCTTTTAGGCAAAGCAAGAAATCCTCTGTGACCACACTCTCATTATCCATATGCCTTTTGGCATGTGATGATGTTACTTTATCACTGCACAGGGCCGTGTCTGCCATTTTCTCCCTTTCCTTCCTTTGTCATATTTGAAAATGAATGGGTGTACAAATTTTGTATTGCTTTTGACTTTTTTAAGACATTGATGAAGAAATCTAAGTGGGGGGAAAGTCTCATATGAATGAATTAACTTGAAATCACAAGACATATAAGTGGTTGATTATTCTTTATGAACAAGAATGTTGCCAAAACAAACTTTTAGCTATTTCTGCATCCTGGTGAAGAATGACAGCTTTTGGTTTGAACCCTCATTCTGTGAGTAGGAAAGGACATCAAGTCCCATTGATGAGAAAGATGAAAAATGCATCTGATTTCCTAAGAAGCTCGAAATTCTAAGTACAATGAAACAATATTTCTTATTTTCCCGAACTCTTGCTGCTGTGATGCTATGCAGACAAGTGTCTTCTCCACGTGCCATTTTCAAAGAAAAGTCATTTGCCAAATAATTCTGGTACAATCCTGGTAATGTGGCCCTGGATCTTAAAAACTGACTTTCTCATGGAACAATGGTGATGTGAGTATTCAGAGTAACAAACTGATTCTGTGATCATAATGGTTCATCTCTATCTCTTTTTGTACATCAGAAAATTCAAATGGGATTTTTATTTTATATCTTGAAGGAAAAAAAAACCTTACCATTAAACTCTTTAAATATTTAAGGGAAATGGCTTTAAGGAGTTCTAATGAAAAAAAATTGCCAGGTGTTTTTCTTTTTGTAAATATAAATGTTAATGAAAATGCTTTTTAATAATGCCATTACACTGTAGAGAAGGTAGCAGATTGAGTGCAAGATGTGACAAATGTGATGGATGGGGATGACTTTCAAGATGTTACTCTGGAGCATACGGGAGGAGGCTGGAATTCAGGGACAGCTGGCAGCTGGCCAATCAGCAGCTAGTGAACAGGAAGGGAGCATGTGACTCCATCATCTCATCTAGCATTTCCACAAGAGTGCCCACCCTCTGTGTAAAACAAGAACAAGGCAACTCACATTTTGAAGGTCTGTCCTTCAGATCCTAACCCTCTCTCCTGCCTCTCCACTCCCACCTTCCCCCACAGAAATCACTGGACTATTTGTACATGAAACAGAAGAGTTTAAGCTTCCTTTTTTTACATTTATGAGACAGAAAAAGTGTAGTGTTTGGTTCGTATGTTTAGCACATGATTTTCATAAAGAATATATATTTTTGCCCTACAGAGAATTGTTCTACAGGTCAAGTGTGTTTTCCGGATGTTCCTATGCAGTTACAGTATGTTGAATTTAGTGGTTTAACACTAAGAAGAAAACTTCAAAGAATCATGTGATTAATTGGATTTGAGGGTAATTGCTATCATTTGGTTTTAAAATTTGAAAATTAGAATTTATATTGATATGATTAACTTAAATAGGCCTGTGACCTTTGGTTCCTCATATCAATAGAAATTGAAAAGCTTTGGAAGAAGGTAAACTTGCTCACAAAGAAAAAAATGATAAGTCTATATGGTGGTTACTGTTGAAAGCCCAAATTTTACATTATCAGGTCTCTGGAATCCAGCTTTTTTCCAGTTAGGTAAACTGACCAGATGTCCATTTCAGAATCCATGTAAATGTCATCCTAAGGCGGAAGGTCTGAAGAACCTGAAAAGTGAGAAGGGCCATATTTCCCTCCCTTTCTAGCTATCACTACTGACCCACATGACTCCTCCAGAAATGTGCATATATCATCTTTTCACATGAAGGAAGAAATGGGAAAGGCATGAGAACCATAAGAGATGTCCTGAAACCAGTTTGATGGTGTTTTTTGGGGATTTGATAAGATGGGCAGTTCCCATGAGGAAATGGCTTACATTGCTATGTTGTCCGTGATTCAGATTCTAAACAAGTGGTGCTATCTTCTTCTTTGATATGGCTGTCTTGAGTGTGTCTGGCAGTATCACCCCATTGTACAGATTCTTTGGGTTGCTTCAAACACATTCAAAGTGAACCCTGGTGGATTCTGTAACCATTAAAAACCATCTAGAGCCAATGTCATAGCAAAAAGTGACAGTTCAGTGAACTCACCATTCATTCATTAAACATGATTGAAAATATAACTGGCTCCAAGCTAAAGGATATGGCCCGTGTAATGCATTTCAGTGAGGGAAATAAAGTCAAGATGTTAGACTGCCATCCATGTTATCATTGGCAGAATTCTGATGTTTAACAAACACTGTCTGGTGAGCTCAGAACCACTGCATCCTATTCTAGTAGTACAGTGGAATTCCCAAGTAAGAATTCAGATGCCAATACCAAAGGGCCATGGGGAGTCTGCACAGTTCCAATTAGATTGATAGAAAAATCCACATGCCCAGCTGTTAATTTATCATCCTGTGTTAATTTCTCATCCTCCACTAGCATGAAATTTGTCACTTTAAATTTTGAAACCAGGGAAACGCCACCTGTCATTCTGTTCCCACTTCCCATAGCTCTTCAATCTCTACATGCCACAAGCCTTTTGTGACAATTTGTACTCATCCCAGTGTCTGCTGAAACTCCATCATGTCATGTACCAGGCACCTTCTTTAAAAAAAATGTTTACTCTGTGGGTTTGGTTCATTTCAATTTCTGCGTTCTGACACCTATTTTTTTAATAAAGATGAGAAAGAGAAATGACTGTTGCCGTACATTTCTAGACCTACTTTAACTTTACCTCAGATGACAGTTTGTTAACATATATGGACATATTATTTTTAACTTTATGTACAATGCATTCACCAGAACAGCGAAATTTTTAGAAATTTTCCATTAATTTCTGTAACACACCATGTAAAACTTACAAATAAACATGTTTGAGAACAACAGCTCAGCCTGGTTTTATTCCACAAGTTTCTACTGGGTATTCAGGCGAGGGCTGAAAGATGAAATCGCTTCTCTGTAAGCTTCTGTCTGATCCATGGAGGCCTTGACCTGGCACTGGTGTGGGGGAGGTGGGCGCGATACAAGGAAGATAGAGAAAGCCTTTGTCAGAAGTTGAATCGGTTCATCTTCAGTTGACTTCAGACACTGGATATGCTTGAGAAATTGGCCACAGCAAAGAATGAGGAGGATGTTGTCAGGGAAAGCTCTGCCTGACGTGGTGTTTAGACCACATTTAGTGTGGGACTTTCAAAGGGAAGAAAAGACTCAAGGACTAGCTTTATGGATTTAGAAATTCTCCTTAAAAAATAAATAATAAATAAATAAATACCCTGCTAAACTGTTGGTTGTCAACCAAGGTTAATCTAGACTCTCATTGAGTTCTCCATAGTTCATTTTAAAATCAGTTGCTTAAGGAACCCAAAAGAAGGAAGCATTTATTTTTCTTCACATTCCCTGCATACTGCATACCAACACACACACACACACACACACACACACAAACATAAAACACACAAACACACACTCTCTCTCTCTCTCTCTCTCTCTCTCTCTCTCACACACACACACACACACACACACACACACACACACACACACTAGTAAAAGCCTCGGTGGCTCTCAAATCCTCACATCATCACAAGATGGCTGCCTCTATGCCATCACAAGATGGCTGGCAGAGGAGGATAGGTGTGAGCAATCAGGTCAGCAGGGGAGGGCAGTAGGGGGCAATTGGGCCAGCAGGAGAGGATTGTTGGCAGTGACTAGGCTGGCAGGGGAGGGCAGTTGGGGGTGAGATCAGGCCAGCAGGGGAAGGCAGTTGTGGGCAACCAGGCTGGCAGGGGAGGAAGCAGTTAGGTAGTGATCAGGCTGACAGGAGCAATTAGGAAGCGATGAGGCCGACAGGCAGAAGCAGTCAGAGGTGATCAGGCAGACAGGCAGGCAAGTGGTTAGGAGCCAGCAGTCCCTGATTGTGAGAGAGATATCCAACTGCCGGTTTAGGACTGATTCTGCAAGAATCGGGCCTAAACCAGCAGTCAGACATCCCCCAAAGGGTCCCAGATTGGAGAGGGTGCAGGCAAGGCTGAGGGACACCCCCCCCTGCACAATTATATTTATATGTTTCTGTATATATTAATATGTTTCTGTAAGTATGTATTTATGAGTATATATATGTATATATGTGTGTATGTGTGTCATTCTCATTTCTTCTTGTTACTAAAAGAATCTGTCTACCCAGATTACAGATTATAATTAGGTCATTGAGATGCCAGAAAATACCTCTGTTGAGGAATTGTTATGTTAATGGTTGCATAAACACATGCCCGCAATCTGGCCTCCTTATACAGAAAGTATTAAACAGATGTTATCACCAACTTTGCAAAAATGAGGGGACAGCTTACATTCCAGCAAAATAAATTTAAGGCAGATAAAAGAAACATTAAGAATTGCTCACTCCTGGATTGAATTGCTAAAAATTGTTCTATAAGCTCTTCTGCATAACAACAGTAGCTCACAAGTGTTGAGAAGCTAATATGTGCCTGATAGGTGCTAGACAACATGAACCAGGGAGATGTTATCCCTGATTTATTGATAAA